TTAAATGTTTGATAATATGAATATGATATATGAATTAACTGAAGCATTACATGCAACTAACAAAGAAAGAACATTGCCACAGGATGCCCAACTGCACCTTGATGAAGCTGTCAGGGGACAGGAGGACATGAAGGAGCAGGTGGCCATGGTGGAGCGCAGGAATAGCCTAATGCAAGCAGAGATTGAGGAGCTGAGAGCTGGCCTGGAGCAAACAGAGAGAGGCCGAAAAGTGGCAGAGCAGGAGCTGGTTGATGCCAGCGAGCGTGTGGGACTGCTGCACTCACAAGTACAAAAAATGATTAAATACTAAGAGCAAATTCAGGTTACATGATAATGTTTTGGTTAAATATACACTAAACTACCTGCTTCAATCCTGCAGAATACGAGTCTTATTAACACCAAGAAGAAGCTTGAGGCTGATCTGCTTCAGGTTCAAGGTGAGGTGGATGATACAGTCCAGGAGGCCAGAAATGCAGAGGACAAGGCCAAGAAGGCCATCACTGATGTGGGTGTTTGCATTCTGTTACTCTATTCTAATTGAAACAGTTATTTGACCTTGTTTAGCTGCATGTGGTAACATTGAGAACATTCATGGAAGCTAATTCTATCTATATTGGTTAGCTCATTTTCATTGGCTTATATTTCAGGCTGCCATGATGGCTGAGGAGCTGAAGAAGGAGCAGGACACCAGTGCTCATCTGGAGAGGATGAAGAAGAACATGGAGGTGACTGTCAAAGACCTGCAGCACCGTCTGGATGAGGCTGAGAGTCTGGCCATGAAGGGTGGAAAGAAACAGCTCCAGAAACTGGAGTCCAGGGTAAATTACAGACTAAATACAGACTTAGGGTGCACTCATACTAGGAAGGGTTGCCTTTTAACGAACCAGTGTGTGATTATATCCCCTCCCCACTCCCCCGCTGGCCTGCACTTACATTGCACTTAACATTTTGGGCTGGAGCAGGCTTTGGTCATTACGATTCAACTTTTGTTTTGAAGAAAAGTGCTTTCGCTATTAGACTGTCTAATACATTTATCACTTATGTAGTGTAGTGATTTTCATTTAATTGTGCAGCACATATCAGAAAATGATTATGGAGTCAGATGAAATTGATGGAGGAATTTGCAGCAATACTCACAATGTATACATACGGCTTATCAATAAGATAAAAACCAGACCCGTTATAAATCTATATTACTCAATACTCAAATTAACTGAAAATTGCTACTTTCCAAGTAGTAATAAATGTTTTTTGTAGAAAATATGACAGTAGCGCACACACAATTAGTAGCTGTTCCATGCTCCGGTGCAGTTAGCGATTCACATTACATGCGTACCGCGCCAGAGCCCAACTGAACCATGCTCTGGCTCACCTCTTCAAGCGGGTCAGGACATGGTTCAGTGTACCATGCTCGGGCATGGTACAGAGTGATCACACTAGCCAAAAGAACCAGACTTTGGGGGTGCTTGGGCATGGTTCAGATCGCCTAGTGTGAGTAACCCTTAGATGAACTGGCCTTGGCAGGGATTTCACAGGTGATAATAATAACTCTCTACTGAAGGTGCATGAGTTGGAGGCTGAAGTTGAAGCTGAACAGAGACGTGGTGCAGACGCTGTGAAAGGAGTGCGCAAATATGAAAGGAGAGTGAAGGAGCTCACCTACCAGGTAAAACTACACAAGAATTTGATATTTAACACCTTTCATGATGATATACATAGTTTAACCAAGACCATGAACAATTTTTACATCCAAAGACTGAGGAAGACAAGAAGAACGTGACTCGACTGCAGGATCTGGTAGACAAGCTGCAGCTGAAAGTGAAGGCCTACAAACGCCAAGCTGAAGAAGCTGTAAGTCTAATGTCAAATGTCTTGAGTGTGAAGTTTCGACATTTTCTATTCAATACACTCAGTGCCATGAGTGCAATGCTCTGAAAGGGGTTGGATATCTTGTGTAATCCTAACAGGAGGAGCAGGCCAACACTCACCTGTCCAGGTACAGGAAGGTGCAGCATGAGCTGGAGGAGTCTCATGAGCGCGCTGACATCGCCGAGTCCCAGGTCAACAAGCTGAGAGCCAAGAGCCGTGAAGCTGGGAAGGTAACAATAGATGATGATTATGTAAAGAACAACTACTTTTTATACATAAAATCTACGAAACATTTTCAACAAAATCTATTTTTTATTAATTATTTTATTTATTCATTTTTTGCATTTTCAAGACTAAAGATGAAGAATGAAGACAATAAACTACACCTACAAGCAAGCATATCACTGACTTGTGCTGAGTTTTTCTGTGTCCATTAAATGGCAGAGTTTGACTTTGTTCTCCATTATTTTTTCCACTTTCAAACTTTATCACATACTCAATCACTGTTTAAAAAGACAACTCATGAGGCATGATGTGGTAAAGAACACAAATGCAGTGTACTGAAATTGTGATAGTAACAAAAAAACCAAAAATTAAAAGCAGGAAAAACTAAACCAGAAACAGCCTGAACTTCATAACAAAAATGTGAACTTGTCTTTGTAAGTCACTTTGGATAAAAGTGTCTGGTAAGTGCATAAATGTAAATGTGTTGGAATAAACCAAAAGTCACTCGCCAATAAGAACACAGAACACAAAATACTTGAGGAGACAAAAGAAAATGGGTATATTTATGCAGTGTAAAAAAGGCATTACATGAAAAAGTCACAACAGAGGAAATACCAGAATACAAAGGGAAGGAGAAACATGAACACAGAAAAGGCAAGACCATAACAGCCAGCCATATCACCCTGTAGCCCAAGACTGGTTGCCCACTGAATCTAAGCAGGGTTGAGTCTGGTCAGTACCTGGATGGGAGACCTCCTGGGAAAACTAGGTTGCTGCTGGAGGTGTTAGTGAGGCCAGCAGGGGGTGCTCACCCTATAGTCTGTGTGGGTCCTAAATCCCCAGTATAGTGACGGGGACACTATAATATAAAAAGCACCGTCCTTCGGATGAGACGTTAAACCAAGGTCCTGACTCTCTCTCGTCATTAAAAATCTCATGGCACTTATTGTAAAGAGTAGGGATGTGTCCCCGGTGTCCTGGCCAAATTCTCTGAACTGGCCCTTGTCAATCATAGTCTCCTAATAATCCCCATCCACTGAATTGGATCTATCTCTCTCTCCTCTCCACCTGTAACTGGTGTGTGCTGAGCAAACTGGTGCCGTTGTACTGTGGCTGCCGTCACATCATCCAGGTGGATGCTGCATACTGGTGGTGGAAGAGAGACCCCCTCATATGATTGTAAAGCGCTTTCGGTGCACAGCAATACACAATAAAGCGCTATTTAAATGCCTCATTCATTCATTCACAACAAAACTTCAAAATAAGTTTGAATTCAAAATGCAGCATTCCAAAGCATACCAAAATAAAGGTACATTAGATGCAGAGCCATTGAGAAAGTTGCAGCATGCTTTGATCTCGCTGCCACAAAGTCAAGTGGTTCATGGAGCTTTCAATATTTCCAAACAACTCTGCGCTGTCTATGTGTTTGAATAGGTTTAATAGGGACAAACAGCAGTTTCACTATATTTGCAGCGATTTCAAGTAATTATGTGCATTGATAACTACACTGACTTCGCTTTACAATAACATTTTATTCTTGGGAGTGACAAAAAGACAGCATTGATATGTTCTCATACCCCTTAGCAGTTAAATGTGACCAAACACCTTAAGTGTAACTTTTAATCAATTTTAAAAAATGTACTACATAGGGCTGCACGATAAATCGAAATGGAATCGAGATCGCGATTCGACAAAAGCTGCGATTGTCATGCGTATCTTTCAGTGAAGCACGGTTCTGTGATCAGCAGTAAATCTCCATCCAAAGGCCAGAGGGCGCTCTCGCGCTGAAACTCCAAATACGCCTCGCAGAAGAAACCCAGAAAATGCTGCAGCTGAATAAACAGAAGATTCAACTGCTTTCATTGATTCAACGTTACTAATAAACACACGACTACGGCAATATACGGTTTATCTGAGTTCTTATTATTATAATTTTCATTAAAATAAATTATATTTATAATGCAATGCATTTATCACTGCTTAAACTTGAAAAATGTTGCGTGCCATATTCTGTGTAAGAAGCCACATCATCTCACAGAAGGATTTATTTCAAACACTCGACTGACGTTATGAAGTGAGTTTGGAGTAAAAATATGTTATTAAATGTGGTATTTTCACATGCTTTCAGATGGAACAGCATTTACTTCCCAGAGCCGTAATTCACTGAGAAGCTATGCAAACAGCTGTCATTATCGTCAATTTCTTAGATTTCAGAATCCTGCATTAAAATCGTCTGCAATTTTTTTGCGTAACTTGTCAGTGAACTTTGGTTATGTGTAGTAAATGCTACTCCATCTGAAAGCACGTGATGATTTCCTGCTGATTACAGAACCGGCTTTTTTAACAAAATGGGCATGACAATCGCATTCGATTAATCGTGCAGCCCTAGTACTATATTTTCATTCAGTTTTATTTAGTTAATATTTTGAGGAGATTTTTAGCACTAAATGATATGTGCAATAATTATGATGCATGAATGACCAAATAAAACATAACATTCTCTAATTTGTTTATTATTTATTTTACAATTAGTGTAGCATTTAGGGTTAAAAACGAGAAAACTATTTTTAAATTCCAGTGAAAAGAGGCAAATTAGAGGCATTAGGTGGCCAGAAAAATAATATGGCTCGATGCCCATATGGCTGTTTAATAAATATAGTCTACATGTATTTAGCTCTAGTCTAGTTGCTCAAAAGAGTTTTGCCGGTCTTAATTGCTTATTTATTTATTTTTTAGGTTTTGCATTTGAATATATTTAGACATTATCAAACACCCGATTTTTGTTTCGATTATTTTTTTATATTAAATTTAACAAGCTTAATTACTTACTTCCCAGTGTTATTTTGTGATATTCACATAACCATACAACAAAAGATAATATTACAAATGGCAAGCTTATACGGAATTGAACCCAATAAAAAAGATTTTAAACAATGTTTAAAAAAACACAAGGCAACCAATTGCATTCAGCGAAACTCTTTATTGTATTCATTGAAACGCATTCAACCTCCTACAAGGAGAGAAAGATTGCAGAAAGGCTAAAAACGTAAAAATATGACAACTAGCAACTTGCTATGGTGTTTTTCATATTAACTAACTGCAGTTATAATATAACTGTCTATTATCTAATGATAAACATTAACTATAACGTGCTTCATAAAATGCTGCTACTGGCCAGATTTCCAAGAGTTCAACTAATGCATTAAAATATCAAAAATGCTGCAATTTTTTCAACATTCTGAAATGAATGGGCTTCAGTGCTGGAACTATTGGTTGTTTGAAACTATTGACTGATCCATGACACGTTTTACTTCCGCATCCCTCAGTACCTATGGAAGCCTATGGGAGTGTTGCAACTCTGGTATTCAACAGCTCTGGTTACATGTGAGTAAATCTGTCCTTTCATTGGTCAGAGCCCACCTGTTTATTTCTAGGATTCCACTCTCAGAGGCACCCATCAACATGTACTGACAAATCAGCTCTGTTGGTTTATTATGGATTTTATCTGTAGCTGTCCTTACACACACTTTTACAAATGTATATACACTTTCATTCACATCATTTGTAATTTCTGCTCAGATGGATCCTAACAAGTAGGGCTGGATGATAAACCGATAACGATAATTAGTGCAATATTTTTTTTCCGATAATTTTTATGCGCCAAAAGTGGCGCGAAGCAGTGCTACTTATTTGAAGCGCGCCACACCGACCATTTATCCACTCGACTCGAAGTTCAAACAGCAGCGCGGCCGATGCTAGAGCAGAAGCATTTACTCTCTGATTGTCTTGGTCATGCAACACTAAACAGCGCTGTGAGATCCAGTGAGAAGCTCTTGAATTCATCGAAGAACATAAATGTCTCAGTGATTAATCTTGTTTAAAGCCTAATGAAACAGTGCCGACAAGCAGGAGAAACCAAAGACTATAGATATACAAAGATGGTTCACTCCTATTACTTATGAAAGGGAGAATCTGCAGCGTGCAATATGGCAGAATATGTCCCACCTTCTAAATGAAAGAGCCAATCACTGACTGGTAAATTCATTGCATCACTGTAGCTACTGTTAGAGGCTCCAGTTTCCGTAGAAACCCGAGACTCGCAATTATGACTGCGCACTGACTGGTCTAGAATGAAAAATAAGAATATTTTAACGTTATTTAAGCATAAGGAACAACATTCCAGGGGCAGTTCATTTCAGATTTTGTTGCTGATTTGAAATATGTAATTCAGGTATGAGTTCATAAAGCAGTTTTTGAGATTTCAGGATTCCCACATTCATTTAGACAGGACTTGGTCTTGGATGCCCAAAATAACTGCCCGGTTCTGCAAATATGGCCGCTGAGTAAACGATGCTTTCCTTGAAAGGGACTTTGGAGAAACACTGCACAATGATACAGTCAGAAGGCTTTTCAATCTACAAATCACAATCCTTCACCATGGATTTACTGTAGTAACACTAACTGCACCATGATATTGTGGCAGAAAATATTTTTATATAGAATTTTATTACTTTATTAATGTAAACTTATTATATATTAAAATAGTAATGAAATATAATTACAGTATTTTTGTGATTAAGCTATAGCATTTTTGCATTTATATTAAATATGTTTAGGCTGCTGTTTTTTTATACAAACACAATAGAAACCATATAGTTATATTTTGGGAGGGAGGTGCTATATGCATGGTTTTAACTGTGGTTATCATGATCTAAATATATGCTGCTATGGGAGACCAATTGTTAATTTTAATTAAATTCAAATAGTCAGAGTATTTAAATGTTACCATATAAAAAGAAATGTGTTACCATTTTTACAGATGTTACTGTTTTTGTTAATAAATGAACACAAATTTGCATCTTCATCCAAACTCAAACTACTATCAAATGTGCATTTCTATGAGACAAAACGTGATATTATTGCAATATGTATTACAACAGCCCTTCTAGCAAGCCACAATGTTTTTTTTTATTTGAGCTTCAGGTACATATTTAGCTAGCATAGAAAAATTACTGCCATTTCCCTAAATTAAATGAAAAAACTTTCAATATATTACCTTACACCAAGTGTTATAAGACAAGACATTTACTGTATGTTTATTTAAATCAAGCTATAACCTCAGACTCTTCTGAATGCATCTCAAAATCAATGAATGCTACCTTAAATATAAAACACAGTAAAATAATATTTTTAAAGATCCAACTGGAAATATTCACGATATAGAAATGTAAACATTCAAATAAGCACTTTATCTTCAAAGTAAATGAAGCTGAAGACTTACTGATTGTTCCCATCAAGCCTTCACTGGTACTTGTAATGATGAGTGACCTAAACCTCGTGATACAAACAGCAACCCTTGCTGTGCTATATTTATGATTTCTCCTTACAAGGACATGCTGTTTATAACTTTGAGAGTCATAATACCACTATGAGTCCAGTTTACTTTAGGCCATGACTACTGAGATTAATTGCCCAATATATTTTTTTAAAATATATATATATACACACACAGTATCTCACAGAAGTGAGTACACCCCTCACATTTTTCTAAATATTTTATTATATATTTTCATGCGACAACACTGAAAAAATGACACCTCTATGGCTCCCCCAGACCTTATCCACACCCTAACCCTGAAACTGTCAATGCAGCAAGAAGGGAGGGCAGTCATACAATCAGTGGCCACTGACAGATTTGTCAAGATCCTGAGCTGAGGAAATTACAACAACTACTGGAAGCAACAGTTTCTGATTCTAAGCACCATGTAAGGGGATTAACATTAACTGTTGAATTTTATTAAATGTTTAATTTGAGATTTAGTTATGTTTAAATTAAACTCTTTTGCATCGGGAGCTCTGGGTCATTCCTGCATAAACTGCATGATGAGGTAAATTGGAAAACACCAATACATAATTACAAGCTTGTGCATCATTTAGCCTGCAGTTTTTAACACTGTACAAATAGCCTATAATGTTTTGTCAGAAAAGTTTTATTATACATTTACTGTTATTACTTATATCAAATATTGGGGAATATTTTATAGAAGTTGATTGTGTAGCTTCTGCATTTTTTTTATTACAAATTCCATAATTTATTATTACTTATTATTTATTTTAAAAACCACATACCCCTCCATCTTACTAATACAGTTAAATTCTGGATTCAATGCAAGAACTACGTTAAATTTCATTACGACAAATGAGAAAAAAAGAGTAGCTTTAGTAACTTATTTTTCTTCAAATGTTCAGTTCTAATTAATTTGAATTGAAGTAAAATGTTAATTCAGTAAGAGCCTGATTAACGATAAATATAAGTGTTTTATAGAGCACAATTTAATTATTTACAAATGTTAGTTCACCCAAAAAATGAAAATTGTCATTAACTCAATATCATGTGTTTCAAACATTACAGTAATTTGAGAAATTCAAGAATTTGTTTGTCCAGTAGAGATCAAGGGTAACCAAAATGGTTTAGTAATGAGGGTGAGGAAAGGATGACAATTTAATAGTGTTAAATATTCTGCATTCTAGCTCATAATTAACATTTTACTGTCAAGTCTTGTTTCTGTCTGATAAAAATGCATTATTGTGTTTGTTGCATTTGCAGAGAGATTCATTAACATCTGTCATTATCTGTTTGTGTCCTGTTTTATTGTAATTTATTTACCTCACATAACACAGCAAAACAATCACAGGGTTTCACAACTTGTGGGCCGGATGGGCTGGATTTGTCCAGGGCCAAATTTTAACCCCAGTCCAGCCCTGGATGCAATGGAGATTTATTGCTCTGGTAGTGGCAGTTTGTCACTCATTGTGCTTGTTTATTAGCTCCTCCATGGGGAGCAGTATTGGCATCTGTCAGTGTATATTTTGTTAGCATCTCATAACTAAGAAAGTATATTGGTAAATAAATAAATAAATACCAGCAACAGTAACCATTTAACTGTGATAACTGAGACAACAGGAGAAGCAAAATGTAAATATTGTGTCTTTTCATTTTTTTCTTTGTACATTTTTGCAGGAGCCATCCAGGTGAAAACTTAGTATACTGCCTTCTGTGCTGCAAACCTCAATATGACATCTCTTATCATCTAAAGAGATCTTGTATGACAGACGATGGACCTGAGGAAATAGAGAAAGAAAAGATGAGGGCTGTAGAATCTCACAAGAAGTGGGTAATGGAAGGAAGAGTTTTGAACTTTACGGAGGTTATTGGACATTTGCAAAAGGACTCATCCTGTCATTTGCTGGCTGAGTACTTTAAAAAAAAGAAGGGATTTTTCATAGTGGGTCAATCACAATCGGAGCAAGCTCGGTTACAGGAGCGGTAAGTTACAAGACCATATGTGACCCTGCACCACAAAATCATACTTAAGTTGCTGGGGTATATTTGTAGCAGTAGGCAAAAATACATTGTATGGGTCAAAATTATTGATTTTTATTTTATGTCAAAAATCATTAGTACATTAAGTAAAGATCATGCTTCATGAAAATATTTTGTAAATTTCCTACTGTAGATATATCAAAACTTAATTTTTCATTAGTAATATGCATTGCTAAGAACTTCTTTTGGACAACTTTAAAGCAGATTTTTTTCAATATTTAGATTTTGTTTTAGAATATTTAGAATATTTTGCACCCTCAGATTCCAGATTTTCAAATAGTTGTATCTCGGCCAAACATGGTCTTATCCTAACAAACCACACATCAATGGAAAGATTATTTATTCAGCTTTCAGATGCTGACCAGATCTCAATTTTAAAAAATTGACCCTTATGACTGGTTTTGTGGCCCAGGGTCACATATGATTTCTTGCTGATTTGCATTTCAGAACTGCTCATAAACATTGTTATTTAGGCCATCATCCTTCAGTTATCATAATATTGAATATATTGTAGTTGTGTGTTTTCATCACTATTTGTGCACTGACTTGCATTTTTTATCACAATATCATATTAGGTTACAGCAACTCACCCATGTGAGGGAAGAGATGGCGGACTTATTCAGCAGACTCCACAAAAACAAAGTGGTGTCATCCAGCAGGAAAACATCCCTCCGTCACTACTGCATGGCCACGATGATCTTGCGACACCAGCAAAGCGCCAAATTTGTGATTGATTTCACGGTAATGCTCAGTCCGCAGCATCTGTATTTCTGTACATTATGAGATTTGAAGCTGCAGATAAATCTCAAACACACCCAGTAAGTGGTCATACTTAGACCTCCCTTTTCACACACAGTGCATATAATTAATGACCTCTTCACCAGATCAAAAGGTGACTTGCCTTTTTACAGGTGGAGCAGTGGATTGCTAGGGAAGAATTGAGTGATGGGTCCTGTATTCCCCTCACTCCCAAAAGTGCTCTGGAACAACTCAGCTTCACGCTAAGCAGGGAAGAAGAAGAAGTAAGTCAATAGTTATACACAAAACATTGTTCAAATACCCACCATATCTGAAATGATTAGAAAGTAATCATTAACCCCCTTCCGCCCCCCACCCCCAACAGTATTTTAATGTGTACTTTACAATGATCCGCACTGACTACTTACACAAACAAGCCCAGGAAACGGACGACAAAGGCAAGTTTTTCCTTTCTGCATCTGGGGCACCACTGGCCAATCCTATGGCAGATGTTAAATGGCTTTTCCAAACTTAAGTGTTTTGTCACTGACATACATAAACAGCTGACTGTTCATTTCACGTGTCTCATACATGTTGCTATTGCACACAGTTATAAACACCTGCAGAAACAGGTGCAGGAGCTCCATACTTGTGGTGAGAGCAGTACTGCTGCATCTACCGAAGAACATGGAACACTTACCCAGGAGGGGTGAGCAGACCGTAACATTTATCTTTTTGTAAACCCAGCGAATCTATAAATGTTTGGGACATCATGCAAATAACTGAGCCTTTTCTTTTGTTTCCAGCACATCTGCCCAGGCCATATGTGCATCAGTGTTTAAACTAAGATACTGGGATGCCTTTAGGGACAAATTCCCCGTTACAGTAAATGGGAATGCTCCCACCAAGCAACAGGCAACAGAGGCGGGGTTTGAAAACTATCGTAGTTATTACCACAAATGGAGGGATGTTCAGTACCAGCTGCGTCTAAGATATGTGCTGGGTAAGTTTTTGAATGAATTTCTCTAGTTTTTCTTGCACTGCATCATGGCATGTGATGGATATTTGGTCTTGTAGGCTGCTTTAGGTTACAATGCGCTTTCTCTTTGACAGATCAGTCAGTGGATAGGAAGGGTACCAAACCTCAGGAGTCTAAAATCATCGATGCACAGGTTGACTGGACCACCAATAAGCCAACAGTGGCTGACGTGCAACAAGCTTGGGCCCCTCCAGTCTCTACAGGACACAGCATCGAAAATGACACGTCCATCATCAAGTCTATCATAGATCAGAAGTGGAAAGGGCTGGCTATCAAGCAGTTTGAAATAAAAGGCAAAGGTACTTAATAGTAAAAGCGGGTTCTGAATGTAAACACAAATAAGGGTCTCTGCACAAAGGTAATGACATTTTCTTGCCTGAAAATACCATATCTCCAGTGTCTGCTCTTATCTCTACAGGAGTGATCACAACCATGCCTTTTTCCAGTTAACTACATCGTCTGCGACTACCATGGCACTGTCATCTCTAAAAGGGAGGGAGAGGAGAAGATGGCTGCTCTGGCTCTTGGGGAACACTCATACATTTTTTTTTTAGGGGAAAGGGTGGGGAGCCCCTGTGCATTGATGCACAACAGTTCCCTTGTAGCTGTCACCAGGACAAAGACTGCTTCGGAAGAATAAACCACTCAAGACAATTTTTTAACGTGCATGCCCAGAGGTTCACAATGGTTCTACCTAGTGGGCCTGCTGAAACCATTTTATTCCTTGCCACAAGAGACATTAAACTCAACGAAGAAATATTATATGATTACGGAGTGACAAGGAAATCATTTCAAGGAGAAGGAGCAGATCTGGACTGGCTCGATGACTGAACTGTCTGAACTGGTCCCTCCTAAGCTAGTTGTGAAAAGTTCAGACTTTTTTATTGCCATGGACAGTTGTTAAAATGTTTTTGCTGATTTGCTAATCACTTTGTTCATTTATTTATTCATTTATTTTTATTTATTTACTTATTATTGTTTTTTGCAAGCAAAATTTACGTATATGATGTTTACATCATGTTAATCTAAGTGTTTTATTTATTATATTTTTGAAAATTTGTATTATTCTAATTCTTGTTGTTAATCTTTTTATTATTAGTAGTAGTAGCAGTAGTATTATTGTCGTTAAAATGCATTTACTTTGACTGAAGTCATCAAATAGAGACCACAAACTTAACATATTATGCCAATTTTTGCTTTGCTAATCACTTTATTACTCTTTTATTTATTTTATTTATTTATTTTTCTGATTTAGCATGTAAGATTTGCTCATAACATTTATAACATTAATTTAATTGTTTCTTTTTAATTATTCTTTTTCTCCTCCTTTATTATTATTATTTGTAGTAGTAGTAGTAGTAGTAGTAGTAGTAGTAGTAGTGGTGTTGTTGTTGTTCTGGATATGTTTTTAATAAACATTTGTTAAACAAGTGTGCTTTTGTCAGTAGTCTTTACTTTGCCAGTTTCATGAAACCTAGATTGTCCCTCTTCTTTTAGTCACCTTGGGAGCTGCTTCTCGTTCAGGTTTTTTATCCCATTCTATGAAACTTCACGTGTGCAGAAGACCTTCTGCGTTTCTAAAGAACGCTATTTTAGGATAAGATTATAAGCAGTGCTGGGTAGTAATTGATTACATGTAACACAGTAGATTAAGTAACACACTTCCAAAAATGAAGCACTTGTAATTAGATTATAAATGCTCACAATTAAAAAAAAAAATCTTTAGCCCGCAGTTACTTATTAATTGGTTTAGTGATTGCATATTATTCACACAATTGCAATAAGGTGTTCATAACTGATAGGTTCATAGCCTGGAAATCGTACCAATGCAACGAACATTCCCTGAAACTTCACGTGTGCAGAAGACCTTCTGCGTTTCTAAAGAACGCTATTTTAGGCTAAGATTATAAGCAGTGCTGGGTAGTAATTGATTACATGTAACACAGTAGATTAAGTAACACACTTCCAAAAATGAAGCACTTGTAATTAGATTATAAATGCTCACAATTAAAAAAAAAAAATCTTTGAAAATCTTTAGCCCGCAGTTACTTATTAATTGGTTTAGTGATTGCATATTATTCACACAATTGCAATAACGTGTTCATAACTGATAGGTTCATAGTCTGGAAATTGTGCCAGTGCAACGAACTTGACAGCCAACTGTGTGTTAATCTATGCAGTTTTAACTGTACAACAGACCTGAAATTCCACTAATGTGATGCTTGGAGGATCACAACACCAGTACCAGGCTCTCCGGGAGAGGGCGCTTTTGTGCAAGGGATGCTTTGGGGCGAGATGGGGATAAAGATGGGAGAGAATCATACACTGGTTCAAATCTGCAGCCAAATGAGGCCAGAGTTAATTCTGTATGTGCCCGACTGTGTATTTTGGATGCATTTTTACAGTTTACAGCACGTCTAAGTCATCCATTAAACATCACATACAGTTCTAGAGTGCGTGTATGCCTGCTGCTGCCTGCCTTGAAGTCAGAATTAGCTTTATTGCCAAGTATGTTTAATAAATTGTGTTTTGTATTTGTGCTGCCTTTGTACAGTTCACATTCAAAATAAAGCAGAACACACACATACACACACTAATCATCACTAAGCTGCCGTGTGTTTTGAGCTTGAGCTCCGTCAAGTTAATTCTTGTTGTCTAATTTTTATCTTAAAATCAATTTTATACCATCATTTTCATTTCTATAACGTGTGAATATATCCCCTATCGTATTCTACAACAAAAACAATCAGAGCGCCTTATCACTAGTTCTATTTTTGACTTCCCGAGTCAGCTATTAGCATATAGCCCGCTACCATCACCAGCGGTGTTGCCGCTAATCTCACGCCGCTAATCTCACTTTCATTACTAATACTCTATTCACACACATTACCATTGTTTTACTCACTGTTACTTGCTTTAATGGCGGATGTGTGTCTACCTTTGAGTGCAGGTGAGGACACGTTCGAGCTGCATTCAGTGCAGCTCGAGCTGGAGGCCGTGGAGAAGCAGATCCGTGACCTGGTGGAGAAGCAGCCTTGCTGGAAACTTCCCAGGCTGACGCTCACAAGTCCGAGGTAAGTATACAGCGGGCTGCTAACTCTCCCACCACCTCTACTCCGTATGTTTCTCTGCACAGGCCCGGTGAACACAGGACGCGATCTTCCCAGATGTCCTTCACTCCGGCACCGGGACTCCACAGACCCTGGGTGCACCCCCCACGGAAGACGCGACCGGGTGACGACCTCTCCTTCTCCGCCGGAAGCGCTTAGCTCCCCTCCACGAAACGGAACGCGACGCTGTGATCATCGGAGACTCCATCGTCTGGCACGTCCATGCTACTTTAGCTGAAGGTAAAGTGCACACTCACTGTTTCCCTGGTGCTCGTGTTCTCGACCACAGACCCTGGGTGCACCCCCCACGGAAGACGCGACCGGGTGACGACCTCTCCTTCTCCGCCGGAAGTGCTTAGCTCCCCTCCACGAAACGGAACGCGACGCTGTGATCATCGGAGACTCCATCGTCCGGCACGTCCGTGCTACGTTAGCTGAAGATAAAGTCCACACTCACTGTTTCCCTGGTGCTCGTGTTCTCGATGTTTCTGCGCAGATACCCGCGATCCTGAAGTGCGACGAGAGCACTGGAGCGGCCGTGCTTCATGCGGGTGCTTATGACACCAAGCTGCGGCAGACGGAGACACTGAAGAGGGACTTCAGGATTTCTTGTTGGTGTAAAGAACAGAAACTGCTCTTTGTTAATAATTGGAATCTTTTCTGGGAGTGACTTTTGTTCTACCCGTTTAAATTGGACAGCGCAAGTACTTCTATAATCTATAAAGACTGTGTCTGTTACCCAAATAGTGAGGTCAAAATATTAATTTAATGCAGAATCTAGAAAAAATTTGATCGTGATTAAACCATAAAAATGTAAAATAAATGAACAAAAGCTATTTTTAAAGTTTGGGCTCCTAAACATTAGATCACTCTCACCCAAAGCAGTTATTGTAAATGAAATGATCACAGATAATCGTTTTGATGTACTCTGCTTGACTGAAACCTGGCTAAAACTTAATGATTATATTGGTCTAAATGAGTCTACTCCACCAAGCTACTGTTATAAGCATGAGCCCCGTCAGACTGGTCGTGGCGGCGGTGTTGCAACAATATATAGTGATATTCTCAATGTTACTCAGAAGACAGGATACAGGTTTAACTCATTCGAAATACTAATGCTTAGTGTTACACTGTCAGATATGGAAAAGAAATCTAACGTATCTCTTGCTCTGGCTACTCTGTATAGACCGCCAGGGCCGTATACAGATTTCCTAAAAGAATTTGCAGATCTCCTCTCAGACCTATTGGTTACTGTTGATAAAGAGCTAATTGTCGGAGATTTTAACATTCACGTTGATAATACAAATGATGAATTAGGACTTGCATTTACTGACCTAATAAACTCTTTTGAAGTCAAGCAAAACGTCACCGGGCCCACTCATCGTTTTAATCATACACTAGATTTAATTATATCGCATGGAATTGAACTTACTGATATAGATATCGTACCTCAAAGCGATGATGTTACTGACCATTTCCTTGTATCATGCATGCTGCGTATTACTGATATTAACTATATGGCTCCGCGTTATCGTCCGGGCAGAACTATTGTTCCAACCACCAAAGACAGATTCACAAATAACCTGCCTGATTGATCTCAACTGCTCTGTGTACCAATAAGTACACATGAACTAGACGAAATAACTAGCAAGATATAGATATCGTACCTCAAAGTGATGATGTTACTGACCATTCCCTTGTATTGTGCATGCTGCGTATTACTTACTGTATATTAACAGTATGGCTCCGCGTTATCGTTCGGGCAGAACTATTGTTCCAGCCACCAAAGACAGATTCACAAATAACCTGCCTGATTTATCTCAACTGCTCTGTGTACCCATAAGTACACATGAACTAGACGAAATGACTAGCAACATGGGCACTATCTTCTCTAATACATTAGAAGCTGTTGCCCTCATCAAATTGAAAAAGGTTAGAGAAAAACATACTGCGCCATGGTACAACAGTAATACCCATTCTCTCAAGAAAAAAACTCGCAATCTTCAGCGCAAATGGAAAAAAAATAACTTGGAAGTTTTTAGAATTGCGTGGAAAAACAGAATGTCCAGCTATAGACAGGCTCTAAAAGCTGCCAGGGCCGAGCATATCCACAAACTCATAGAAAATAACCAAAACAATCCAAGGTTTTTATTTAACAAAGTGGCTAGATTAACAAATAACCAGACGCCACCCAATCTAAATATTCCCTCACAGTTTAATAGTAATGACTTTATGAATTTCTTCACTGATAAAATAGATAACATCAGAAATACAATAAAAAATGTAGATTCTACAGCGTATAATACTTCAGCTTCATTCATCGCACCAAAAGATAAACTG